CCTTTCTGTCTTTAACTTTAGGTATCAGGTATTTTGTCTCAGCAACGAGAGAAATAACTAAGACAGATATCATGGGAGGGGGAGGGGGAGAGGAGAGGGAGAGGGAGAGGGAGAAAATGAGAATAAAAATTACTGTCCCAAACTCATGGCCAAGTTCCTCCAGAATTATAAAAGCTATAAATTAAGACATTTTTATTTACACAGTACAGGTTTTTAAACCTCACTAACACCAGGCCAAGAACTGAATTGGTTCTCTGACCTTTACACACTACACATCAGGTTTAACTGACTTGCTTAAAGCCATACACTTTACAAAGATCAAAACCATAATTTGAACCCAAGTTTATCAGAGGCTGAGGTTCATATCCAATTCACTAAACCACCTGATAAATTATTTTAAAGTAGCATTATTCTTTATAATTTAGTTTGGTAAGTACTAAACATTCCACAACACACATTTAAATCTATTTAAAAATAAACATGCTTCCTTATGAATTGTTTTAGATATAATTTCATTAAATTTTCTCTCAGTTAAAATTACAGGGTTATATATTATACCTGCAGGTTGATACTGTTTTATTTTTCCTCTAGCCTGGCAACTGCTGAATATTACAGAGCATTACAAAGATTTGGTAAATTCAGACCACTCTCCAGGTGTAACTTGTACTTGCAAAGTCCTGTCAAGAAAACATTCCTAAGGGGGGATTAAATCTGCAACTCTCAGCAACTTCTCAACTTTAATATTTATTTGTTAATTCACTCAGCATAACTGAAAAAAAAAAATTTCATAAGACTTATGTTACAGAAAACAGCTTATCCTTTTAAGCAGCAATACTTTACTATTTTAGGACATCTCTAATATAGGCTTTCTGTTTTGGTAACCATAATATAATCAACAATTTAACCTTCTTCTTGGAGTGTGTGGCAATTATTATCAGTTATTGTGCTAAAAATAACAGAAGTTAGAAGACACTGTCCAGAACTTGTTCCTTCTAAAATTGCTTCTGATGACAGCTTTCTTCTTTATTCATTTGTTTTTCGCATAAAGGTGAGGGACAGGATTTGCAGGTAGTCTCTTGGCTAATATTAGCATACTTTCTACAAGATAAAACTGCTCAAAGGTCTAAATAGCCTTCAGGGAGTTCCATGGCAAATACTATCATGGAAAGCAATTAGGTAGACCTTATTAACAATTTAAAAGGCATACCTCTTATTTTGGATCAGTAATCTTTAATCTGATAAATTCTCAGGTTATACTCCAAACTAAGAACAAAGCAATATGATCAAATATACTCACTGCTGTATAATAGCTGCAATTTAAAGAAGGACTAGAGGGGGTGGGAATTTAGCTCAGTGGTGCCACACTTGCCTTTCAAGCACAAGGTCCTGAATTCAATCCTCAGTACCAGAAATATAAACAAACAAACAAACACTAAAAGTAGCCTCAATGTTTAGTATCCTCAGTACCAGAAAAATAAATAAATGAATAAATACTAAAAGTAACCTCAATGTTTAGTATTTGCTAAATAAAATTGATACTCCCACTTTGTGAACTATCATATAGCCATTAAAAAGTAGCAACAGAAACACATATGCTATTAAGGAAAAGGGGACAGAATTATGCAAACACCACAGTCAAACAGGTTTATACAGGGAACCTCGTTATTTTGAGGTAAAATTTATTTTAGAAGATTGGGAAGAAAAACTTTAAGCACTCTGAAGATTAGTCAAATTAGCCTCAGGAAAACACATGTAAGACTTCATGTCATGTTCACCACGCTGTCACATCTAGAAGAACGTGCAGCATATAACAGGCACTCAGCTATGGGTTAAAAGGGTAATCTTCCAAATGAATCAAATGATAGAGAGTAAGCTTGTCTTTGTGGTTTATGTCACAAGTTTCTTATGCACCTGATTAGAATGAGGTGGCTAAAAGCTTTCATCAGAGAATGGGGAAAGATCACCTGCATATCACCACTCAAAAGTCAATGTTTTCCCACTACATTAAGACCATCACATCCCTACTTAGGAAAGAAAACCAGTGAGATATTTACTGTATGTGTGCTTGCTGGCATATTTTCCCCAATGCTGCCTATCTTTCAGGTGAGCTTCATCACTGAGCCTAAGACAAATCTGTTTCTTTAGCTTTGTTTTCTGGAAGCAGAGTCTGCCAAGAGGATTTTCTTACTGCAGAGCAGGGAAGAGGGCCTTGGAAGTAGGATACATACCTGTATAAGTTAGCCCTACATGGGCATAGGAATCATTGGGGGATGACAGAAATGTTATAAAGTTGAATTGTGGTTATGGCTGCAACAACTCTGTAAATTTATCAAAAATTGTTGATTTGAATCCTCAAGTAAATATCATTCAATGAAGCTGTTTTCTGTTCTAGTCTGTTTTTTGTTCTTTTGAGACAGGGTCTTCTTGTGTAGTCCAAGCTTGCCTCGAACTAGCAGCAATCCTCCTGCCTCAGCCTCCAAGTGCTGGGATTACAGGCTTGTGCAACTACACCTGGCTTAATGCTGGTTGGGTTTTGTTTGTTTGTTTCTTTGTTTGGTTTTTTTTTTTTTTTTTTTTTTTTTTTTTGAGACAGGGTCTCACTATGTAGTTGAGATTGACTTGGAACTCACTATGTAGTCCAGGCTGGTCTCCAACTCATAGTGATCCTCCTGCCCCAGCCTCCCAAGTGCTAGGATTACACCACGCACGACTTAATGCTGCTTTTTAAAAAGGCTTTGGGCAAGGATTTAGCTCAGTGGTGCTGCCACCTGTGTCACCTGCCTTGCAAAGCAAAAGGTCCTGAATTCAATCCCCGGTAACACAATAAATAAATAAATAAATAAATAAGGCTTTGATCAACTTTGCATAGGCTTATGATTTTTAAAAAAAGATCAAAAAACCTGATTCTGGAAAGCTAAGGTCCAAACACTGGAGGGTAGTGATTCTGTGATGCATTACCGATATAGGTCCAAGATAAAACTGCTAGTCTTTCCTCTCTATGCTGCAACATTTTAAACATATAAAAGGCACATGACTGAAAGATATGATAAAAGAGATAAAGTCATTCTATTACCTTTATAAAACTGTCACAATTTCTATAAAAGGTAATCTTGGAAAAGTTAATGAGGGAAGTGAGATCTAAGCAACCAAGGAACATAAAAAGATGTTATGATTCATTATGATTCATTAAAAATGAGACTGTGTCAAATTACTTTCTCATTAATTTACTACAGAGCTCAAGCATTGGCTTTATTTCTTGATAAACAGTATCATGTCAGGTATTTAACATTTGCTGATAAAGTAGACAAGAACTAAACAGTCCAAAATGCATGTTTACAATCAATTTGTTCTCTCTGTAAAGAAAAAATGCAAGCTATGAGCTAATTCAAGTAGGAGAACCAAAAACTGCTATCATACTGATAAATATATTTTTTAAATGAGAAAACAACCAGAAAATTAGTAAGTAGACCCAGAAACCATGGAATAATAGACTATTCAAGAATTACCTTCCCAGCAGAATGATTTTTAAAAATGATAGTGGCCTACAGATAGCACAAAACAATGAAAATAGATAAAATAAAATGAAAGTAGAAAACAGATCACCTTGACCAATAATCATAGTTCCTATTTCAGAGATTTTTATCTTCAGATTCTTCACTACCAGTTTCCTCTTAGCCTAAGAAGGAGTCTGGCTGTGTAACAGAAATTAACTGATTCAATGAGTTGGCAAAGACAGACAATAAATCTACACTCTACAGTCCATACATTACGATGCTAACAGATATAGTTATTGTGACTATGACATCCTGTTTACTCTTCTTCAAAAATGAGGTTCTAGGAGAGAAAACTCTCAATATCTAACCTACCCTCATTAAGTTGCCGATTTAAGTTAGTTTTTTTTTTTTTTTTAAGGGTGCACATATAAATTTTAACAAGTACAGAAACTACCTCTGGGTGGGGGATATAGCAGCATAAAGCCTCCTTGCTAAGCGCGAGGTTCTGAGTTCTATCCCTGGTACCAAAAACCAAAAAAACCTTTTTGGTACCGGGAATCCAACTCAGGACCTCGCACTTGCCAGGCAAGTGCGGTGCCACTGACCTAAATCCCCAGCAAAACTACCTTTTTGAATCACAGAGGTTATTAGAGGTGGAGAGAGCATAGATTAAGTCCAATTATGTCTTATTTTACAAAGGAGGCTCACGGGTTCAGTCTGTGGCAAACCTTACTCAATCATAGTCTCTAAGGCCTCAATTCTTTTAGGAATAAGTCTTACAGAAAATTAAAAACCAATTTTAAAGTCGACCTCTATAATGAGTAGACTTATGACTAGTAGGGTTTCAAAAGATGAACTACATTACTGGGAGAAAGAGGTATCTGACACAATTTCCAGTTAAAATTCAAGTTGGAAATTTCATCTTTTTTTTCATCTTTTCATTTCACAGTGTTAACATGTTCCCACACCCAATCTGATTCCTACACATATTTGATGCTGTATTGTTACTTCTATATAGGTTCTATTTCTTCCATGAGAACATGTTCCCAGAATTAACAATTTTACTTCAATCTCAACTATACTTATAAAAACTGGATTAAACAATCCTACTTATAGGAACTGCTTGCTATTGAAAGGAACTTATAATAAATGTGCTTACAATGATATTATCCGTAAAGGTCAAATAAGATCCAAAAGGGTTTGAATTCTAAAGTAAAAAAAGCAACTCTGTACTAGCATTGGATACATTTTTCACGTTAGGTCCACAACTTAAGAAAAATGAAATGGCAATTCATATGATGTAGCAAAGGCTACATTTAAGTATTCACTTCTATTTATGTTAGAGAAATTAATATATCCAACTTTCACTAAATAATATACATCATTTTTGCAAAACAAAGAAAAAGAGCCTTCACTTACAAACCATATACATGAAAACAAAACAAAACAAAACTTTATTCTCTTTGGCCCTCAATAACCTGAAAGACTCCCGTTCCAAAAACCAACCTTTTTCATTCTTCACCCCAGAAAGGAAGAACTTCCATTCCTCGAGAACAAAACGCAGCCAGTCCAGAAAGCCGCGAGGACCTATCCGACAGGGTTCTGCGTTCTCCTGAGTGACATCATTTCACCTGCGCCTCGGCAAAGAGGGTGGAAACAAGAGAGCCGGGCCGTCTGCCAGGTGGCTGGCGGAGTCTCCCGCGGGCCGCGGCCGTATCTGCTAGCCACCGCCGCTCAAACAAAGAGCGCAGAGCTACCGGGGCAAATCTCCACCCGACCAGCGCGCGGGCCTGCTCCCAACGGCCCACGGCCCGTCCTGCCAGCTCCGCGCTGGGCCGCCGCCTCCTATTGTGACCACTCGCTCAGCCAGCGGCCAGTTCGCTAGCTCCTCCGCTCCTGGGCCTCCTCAACCCCGGAACCTGGGCTCCCACTGAGGTACTATAACGGCGCTTCCTTCCTCCCGGCACCATCACACGGGCCGCGCCAGGAAACTACGGCTGCACGCCCAGAAATGACAAAGTCGGCTAACGCCTCCGCGCCCCAACCGCAGGACTAACCCCAGCGCCGCTCGAGGGTCCCGGGTCGCAGCACCGGGCCTGGGCCTCCTCAACCCCGGAACCTGGGCTCCCACTGAGGTACTATAACGGCGCTTCCTTCCTCCCGGCACCATCACACGGGCCGCGCCAGGAAACTACGGCTGCACGCCCAGAAATGACAAAGTCGGCTAACGCCTCCGCGCCCCAACCGCAGGACTAACCCCAGCGCCGCTCGAGGGTCCCGGGTCGCAGCACCGGGCACCGGGCAGAGCCTAACTCGCTTGAGTTCGGGTCGCCCTCCCCGCCAGCACAAACCTAGGGTGCTGCTCGGCAGGTGAGACCGCCTGAGCGCTCCGCCCCTTTCCACTCCGGCTCAGCTCCGCGAGCCCCCTTTGTTTCCACCCCGCGGGGGTGGGGCGGGGCTAAGCGCGTCTAGGAGCGCCTAAGACCAGTTCCGGCAACAAATCGGGTCGCGCAGCTTCTCCGCGCAGCCCCGCCAGGCCCTCCTCCTGCGTCCAGCTGCTAGGTAGCCGCTTGGCTCGCGGGCAGCAAGGCTGTTTTTAAATTCTCGTAAACTCAGTTCCCAAAAGTACAAGTGGCCCGAGAGGTAGAAATTATTATTGATGTAGACAGAAGTGTTTTACAATGGGGCAAGCAGGTTCGAACTTAACTTGGACTCTCAGGCTTCGTAAACATTTACCAGGTACTCAATCAGACCTTGCTAGAGGGTGTGAAATAAGCTGCAAGACTAAAGCCATCTTGCCTCATCACCTCCAGATCCAAAAGAGGAAATAAGGTCGCCCATAAAAACATAGTAAATACAAGGAAAATATGGTTAAATGATATAGGAATGGAAAGAGAGGTGTCAAGGGATATCATAGAAGAGGTGGGCTTTTCAAAGCAGAAATTAGATAAATCCTACAAAGATAGTGTTATTTTAAGGGTGGTAGGACAAATTAAGGACCAGTTAGGAGAAAACCTAGGTTCTATTTCTTTGGGTATTAAACCTGTCTCCTGCTCCCTCTGGGCCTCAGCTGCTTCAGGTAGGAAAAGGGACCCAAACTAAAATGTTTCAGGATCCTCTGAACTTTGAGAGTTCCATATATGAAAACACCATATGATAATTATTTCTGTACATTTGTCTCCCATATGGGGATGGAACATCAGGACTCCTGAGAGCATAATCCCAAGGCCCAAAACCAGTGCCTGGAGCAAAACAGGTGCTTTGCAACTGCTGTATCAAAATTCCAGTAATAATTCCAATACCAGGGAAAGCTGGGAAGAGATAACTGGCCCCTATGAACATGTTCTTCTCAAGCCAGGCCTATACCCTCATTATGTAATACAGTTATCTACCCAACTCTCCCCCAAAATCTGCCAAAATGTCCGGTTTGGAGGTGTCCAAAGTTTTAAACCGCCCCCATGCCTCAGTTATAGTCCCAATTATATCTTTAAAGTATATCCAATACAATCTATTTTTTTTTTTGTACGGTATTTGGGGATTAAGTTCAAGACCTTCACACTGCTACAATCCCCAAATTCTAACCTCTGGATCCCTCACAGTTCCCACTCTATTCCTATGGGTTTGCGTGACAATACCACATCTTCCACTGGAATTATCAACAGAATGTTTATGTAATGCAGACCACCCTGAAACAGCTTTTCCTTCATGCTAGAGTATGGGCTACTTTATAAGAAAGAAATGGAGGGAAATCACCATTTGGGAGCTGTCCAATTAACATAAAGCAGATTCCTCAAATGCTAATCTCAGCAGCAAAAATTTGTAATAGTCCACACCCATAAATTTAAAAGAATCCCTCTGTACTCCAGCCAACCATTTGTGAGGCAAACTCCGTGAAAATCTCTCAAATAATTACACTCTTAGCTAACTGGGCTCTAAAGGCTTAATCTAAGAAGTCTGTCAAGATGTAAACAATGCTGCAACACCTCAAAGTTGGATAATTTGTACGGCAAGTCTTCTCTATTGATTTAACTAGAAAATCTGGTGTTAGTAAAGGCCCAACAACTGACAAAGCCCCCTCCCCCCTTTTTGTACCAGGGATTGAACTCAGGACCTTGTGCTTGTGAGGCAGGCGTTGGCACCACTGAGCTATATCCCCAGCCCCGAATGACAGACTTTTAAGCTGAATCACTTTTGGTGGCTAAATGTGTTAAATTATATCAAGAGTATCTGCTCTATTTCAGTCAAGCTAAAATTTTATTTGGTGTCTGTTACAAAGGCAGAAAGTCCTGTTCAAGAGTCATGTTAATAAAACATCTACAATGGTGGAAATATTCTACATCTGCACCAACCAAAAAGTAAGCCAGTAGCTAGCTCTGTGTGGCTACTGAGCACTTGGAATGTAGTTCCTGATCGTTTTAAAAAGCCACGTATAGCCAGGGGAAGCACTTGTATTAAAAAAAAAAAAAAAAAGCTGCTGTGGCAAAGAATTCTGTTCTGCCAGGTTTGGTGGCTTATGCCTGTAATCCCAGCAGTGGGTGGGCAGGGGATGAGTTGGAGGCCAGCCTGGGCTACAAAGTGAGTTCCGAGCCAGCCTGAACTTCAAAGCGAGACTGGGTCTCAAAAAACAGAATTCTGATTCCAAGGCTACCCCTATGGTTTTCATAACATAAGTGAGTACCACTAAAAAGTGTATTGTAATAAAATAAAAATAACAAAACACCGTTTACCAAACAGGAAAATAGTGAAGTGCCTTCAAATGAGTCTGGAGTTATTCTACCCTGGTGTCCTGCCATTTTAATCCATGGGAATAACAGCAGCCAGCACAAAACAATCTAGGCAACTATCATTCTATATAGAAGCTGTGTTAGAAATGATAACCAGGTGATGGTGCCAGGTACCACAACAGCAACAGAACTTTGCTGTTGTCTGGATATTATTCTTTTCTTTGTTTTGTTTGTTTTTGTTTTTGTTTTTTTAAGGGAATGTGCTGAATGTCTATAATTTTGTTTAGATGACTGCAGAACTTGGAAAAGCTGTTGCTGCTATCGATGCATAACATACTATTATTAGTCTTCATATATATAT